AACAACAGTAACAATAACAACAGTAACAACAACAACAGTAACAATAACAACAGTAACAACAACAACAACAGTAACAACAACAACAGTAACAATAACAACAGTAACAACAACAACAGTAACAATAACAACAGTAACAACAACAACAACAACAGTAACAACAACTGATCTGTGATTCGTTGTTCTATTTCAACCAATAAGAATTGTCACAAATTTGTGTCGATTTTTTTCCTACTGACACCTGAAGTACTCACACTCCTGTGCCAAACCTACGGTTCTGTCGACCTCTGAACTCTGACCTTTGACTTTGTTTTTCAGAAATTCCTAAAACAGAAACCAACTTCGAGGAGCGCCTCATCCTCAAAGCCTTTTTACTCAAGTTCATGAACGCCTACGCGCCCATCTTCTACGTGGCGTTCTTCAAGGGGCGGTACGTGTACGTGTACGTGTACGTGTACGTGTACGTGTGTGTGTGCGTGTGTGTGCGTGTGTGTTTCTGTTAATACTGGTCAGAAACTTGACGTTGGTTTCATCAAAACATTTCTTTTTCCCGTTCGTTTACTTTGACAGTTATTTTTCTTCAACATTAGAACTGAATCTCACCGTCAATGGTTCTCAAGTCGTGGTGCAGGCACCAGTCATGTTATGGCTCCCTCTAGTGGGGGAATGTCATTCCTATGAGGATTCAAACGGGTCATTTGGTTAAATGTGTGTGTGTGTGTGTGATGGTGGCACATGTGGTACAAGTACTGCAGCTGGTACTACAGCTGGTACTACAGCTGGTACTGCAGCTGGTACTGCAGCTGGTACTGCAGCTGGTACTGATGAACCTGTCGTTCCCGCAGGTTCGCAGGTCGACCTGGGAACTACGTGTACGTCTTCAACAACTACAGGATGGAAGAGGTACTACCTCCGTCCTCACCTTCAAAGGATTACTTTGATGTCAAGTATTTGTTAGTGGACACGGTGTGTGTGTGTGTGTGTGTGTGTGTGTGTGTGTGTGTCAGTGTGCTCCAGGAGGCTGCCTCATTGAACTGTGTATCCAGCTCAGCATCATCATGTTGGGAAAACAGCTGATCCAGAACAACATCTTTGAGATCGGAATCCCGTGAGTACAGTACTTACAGTACATTTGAGTACTCGCTAGTAGTCGGTACTACAATAAAGAAAATGTATGACAGTAGACCAGGGACGGGACCAGGGACACGCTGGTCTTTGTACTGTGGACCAGGGACACGGTTCTAGGTTCATGTGGAACATGTTGAGTGGTTTCTTGGTGAACTCTGCGTCTCTGCCGACAGGAAGTTGAAGAAACTGCTTCACACGATGAAGGCCAAGGTGTCGGCAGAGGAGGACAGGGCGGAGGAGAGACCCCCCCAGCAGTGGAACCTGGACTACGCCCTGGCTCCGTTTGAAGGACTGACCCCTGAGTACATGGAGATGAGTGAGTACACACAGGTGTGTGTGTGTGTACATGTACTACAGTAAGTACCAAGGTACTTTATAAAGAGGTACCTGAGTTGGTCACTCACTTATTATGGTCCATTATTTACCACTGAGGATGTAGCACCACCTCCTGACCTGTAGGTGGTGCTCAGTGCACATTTGAGGCTCAGACTCTAACGCTGACATCTGTTGGTCAGCTGTGGAACAGCATCCTCCTGTCAATATTCAGACAGTCTTGACCAAAACTAAACAAAACATCAGCTCACCACCAGCAGGTGGCTCCACTGCTCACAGCTACAGAAAAGTAATGACGCCCACTCCCGGTCTCTCCCCCCCCCCCCCCCGGTCAGTCATCCAGTTCGGCTTCGTCTCCCTCTTCGTGGCCTCCTTCCCTCTGGCGCCGGTCTTCGCTCTTCTCAACAACGTCATCGAGATCCGACTGGACGCTAAGAAGTTCGTCACAGAGCTGCGTCGACCGGTGGCCGTTCGAGCGAAAGACATCGGTGAGACGATCTGGTCGTCATGACGACACAGCTAGTTGAAGTTAGTTAGTTAAACTTTTACTAACTTCTTTAATGACGTCACGCTGCCCCCTACAGGTATCTGGTTCAACATACTGAGTGGAATGGGGAAGTTCTCCGTCATTATAAATGTAAGTACTGCAGTAGTACTAGTACAACGAC